CGCGAGCTGCACTGGTTGCCGGTAGCCTTCCGGGTGCGCTTCAAGGTGTTGGTCATCATCTTCAAAGCGCTCCATGGCATCGGACCTGGATATCTCCGAGACCGCCTTCTGCCGCAGATTACCTCCCATCGGCCGGTACGCTCCCACAGAGTGGGTCTCCTCAGGGTGCCGTCAGCTAGACAGTGCCGGCTGGCGACCTGCAGGGGGAGGGCCTTCTCGGTGGGAGCTCCCACCCTCTGGAACGAACTACCCCCAGAGATCCGGGTGATCCCGGATCTCCCCTCCTTCCGCCGCGCCCTGAAGACATGGCTCTTCCAACAAGCGGGATTGGCCTAGGGGAATTTTTAGTGAGGTTTTAAGAGAAATTTTAATTATATAGGCCATAGTAAATATTTCTTTTTAATTAGGTTTTAAATTGGGTATTTATTGTTGTATCTGTTTTATAAGGCTGTCAGCCGCCCTGAGTCCGTAAGGAGAAGGGCGGGATAAAAATTGAATAAATAAATAAATAAATAAATATTGCTATAGTTTGAAGGGACTTTTAAATGCAGTAGAGGAATGGTAGTGTTACAGCCAGGAAACTCCCCCTCCTAGCAAGAACTCAGATGTTTTCACAGAAATGAATATATCACGTACTAAACCTGTAGGTAGGTAGGGAATGCTAGAAATGTATCTGATTTCCATTTGGGGTCTAATTTGATTTCCATTTTGGATCTAATGGGAATGAAGGGGATTTTGTTGCTCCGGGACTGAAGTCACTTAGGATCAGATGATCACATGATTAAATGAGATTTCTTGGCACTTTCTAACTGATTATCTGGAGAGAACATGAATTTGTTTGTGGTGTTCTGTGCATGTTTTCAGCATTTCAAAGTGATTAGAAGTCAAGGTAGGTTGCTTCAAATGGTTTGGTGACAAAATGGAGAATGGATGCCTTTGGAACTCCTACAGTGAGGAGTGTAGGTGTAAGAATTATTATAACACTGAATGGAGAAATGCACTGATCTGGGTGGAAATGTCTGATCTCCAGAATCTCTTTTTTAATTGGGCCCAGGTCTGCCTGGATGACTCCTTCTCTCCAGTTGTGCTGCAGACAAACCTCTCAGTTCGGGAACAACCAGATGTCTCTGACAGGAATCTGCGACCTGTCCTTCATCCTGAGGCAAAAACCTCCATGGACATTGAGGTATTTTTTTTGTACTCTGTCTTTTATTTATTTATTTATTATTTATTTATTTATTAATTATATTTTTACCCCGCCCTTCTCCCTGCGGACTCAGGGCGGCTTACAGCCTTTTAAAAACAAATACATAAATACAAAAAATACTAAAGTTAAAATGTTAATTAAGATGAAATATTATTAGGCCTTTGTTATTTTAAAAATTATTATAAAAACCCAGCTAAAAAATAACCCTTAGGCCAGTCCTGCCAACTTAAATAACNCCATAGGGTGGGAGCTCCAACCGAGAAGGCCCTCCCCCTGGGGGTCGCCAGCCGGCACTGTCTGGCTGACGGCACCCTGAGGAGACCCACTCTGTGGGAGCGTATCGGCCGATGAGAGGTAATCTGAGGCAGAAGGCGGTCTCGGAGATAGCCAGGTCCGGTGCCATGGAGCGCTTTGAAGATGATAATCAACACCTTGAAGCACACCCGGAAAGCCACCGGCAGCCAGTGCAGCTCGCGCAGCAACGGCGTTACATGGGAGCGACGAGTCCCTCCCAACACCGCCCGCACGGCTGCATTTTGGACTAACTGGAGCCTCCGAGTGCTCCTCAAAGGGAGCCCCATGTAGAGAGCATTGCAGTAGTCCAGGCGGGAGGTGACAAGAGCATGGGTGACTGTGCGCAAGGCGTCCCGGTCCAGAAAAGGCCGCAACTGGTAAATCAGGCGTACCTGGTAAAACGCCCCCCTGGCCACTGCCGTCAACTGGTCTTCCAGTGTCAGCCGTGGATCCAGGAGGACACCCAAATTGCACACCCTCTCCGAGGGAGCCAAAGTTTCGCCCCCTATAGTCAGCGACGGAGTCAACTGACTATGCCGAGGCGCCGGCAGCCACAGCCACTCGGTCTTGGAAGGGTTGAGCCTGAGTCTGTTTCTCCCCATCCAGACCCTTACGGCCTCCAGGCACCGGGCCATCACGTCAAGGGCATAGTCAGCTGATTCCATCGCTGACTATAGGGGGCGAAACATTGGCTCCCTCAGATCGGGTACGCAACTTGGGTGTCCTCCTGGATTCACGGCTGACACTGGATGATCAGTTGGTGGCCGTGACCAGGGGGGCGTTTTATCAGGTTCGCCTGATTCACCAGTTGCGACCTTTTCTGGACCGGGACGCCCTACGCACGGTCACTCACGCCCTTGTCACCTCCCGCCTGGACTACTGTAATGCTCTCTACATGGGGCTCCCCTTGAGGAACACCCAGAGGCTCCAGCTGGTCCAAAATGCGGCCGCGCGGGCGGTGTTGGAGGGGACTCGACGCTCCCACGTGACACCGCTGCTGCACGAGCTGCATTGGCTGCCTGTGGCCTTCCGGGTGCGCTTCAAGGTGTTGATTATCATCTTTAAAGCGCTCCATGGCATCGGACCCGGATACCTTCGAGACCGCCTCCTGCCGCAGATTACCTCCCATCGACCTGTACGCTCCCACAGAGTGGGTCTCCTCAGGGTGCCGTCGGCCAGACAGTGCCGGCTGGCGACCCCANTCTCCGGGTCCATCAGGCGCCTGGGACGGAACCATCTATGCGGTTCCGTCTCCCTGCGGCGGGGGGGAGCGGTCCGGAAGTCCATCCTAAGGAGTGAATGATCTGACCATGACAGGGGCTCTATAACCACCTCCCCCATTTCCAGATCATTCTGCCACTGGCCAGAGACAAAAATTAGATCTAGTGTATGTCCTCCCATTTTAGTTCTTTATCTGGAACTAACATCTCCTCTGTCATGAGCCAGTCCTGAGCATTTCCGACTTTGTGCCAGTCCACTACGTCTCATTTGAATCCACCTTTCCTCTCAGGAGCTGCATTGAGATGGTAGCCTGGAGGGGAGAAAATGGCTGCCCGACATCTCAATGCAAGGGTCCACTCATTGTCTTACCCACTATTCTTATTTCATGCCATTTTCAGTTCCTGAAGCAAATTTGAAGGCATGTTTATAAGCAAATCTGTTCAAAAGAGGGTTCTTTCCATCACCCACAAAAGCTAGGTTTCTTATAAACACAAGGCTTGGGTACAGATAGTCCTTGACTTACGACCACAATTGAGCCCAAAATTTCTGTTGCTAAGCAAGACAGTTGTTAAGTGAGTTTCGCCCCAGTTTCTTGCCACAGTTGTTAAATGAATCACTGCAATTGTTAAATTGGTATCACGGTTGTTAAGTTAATCTGACTTCCCCATTCACTTTGCTTGTCAGAAGGTCACAAAAGGTGATCACGTGACCCTGGGACACTGCAACCGTCATAACTTTGATCCAGTTGCGAAGCATCCAAATTTTGATTATGTGAGCATGAGGATGCTGCAATATCATAAGTGTGAAAAACAGTCGTAACACACTTTTTTCAGTGCCATTGTAACTTTGAATGGTCATTAAATGAATAGTTGTAAGTCGAGGACCACTTGTGTTGCCAAGCCCCACACAGATGGCAAAACTGAGGAAGCAAGAACTACAGATATCAGCAAGCAATTTTGAATGGGGTCTCGGATAAATACGGAATCTTGGAAAGTGCCGTAGGATGTCCCCAGCCTCATTTATTAAGTTCACTAATGTGGAATCTCTAAAATGCTTTCGATTAAATCTCCCTCCACCTGAGCTGAGTTATCAACTATAAAATAATCTGTCAGCTGACTTACTGCTTGCTTTATCCCCAAACTCTCACAGGCTTGCATGTTAGTTATGAAGGGATTTCACAAGTGTGAAAGGTTCTGGAATGTTGTAACCTGGCTAAATTGAAACAGGTCACTGGCTTTGACTGTGTGATCAAATGGATTCTTCTTGTGTCCATAAAAGCAGTGTGTCTCAATCTTGACAACTTTTAAGATGGATGGACTTCAACTCCAGAGTTCCCCAGTCAGTTGAAGTTCACCCATCTTAAAGTTGCCACGTTTGAGAGACACTGACATAGAGGATAACTATCATTCAGATTTCATAATGAGAAGACAGGAAAATGCTATCCTCCTAAAGAAATAAAACTAAACAACCCTGCGACCCATTGGGTCATCCTTTGAGAGAAAGGTGATGTGCCCAGAACGAACATTAAATTATAAGCTGACCATATGTTTTTACCCCCATGGTGGAGGGATCAATTAAAAAGAGTAAACATCATAAATAGAAAAATATTTGTAGGAGGAAACAAACTTCATAATAAGTTAACTAATATTAACTTACTTAAAATAAACAGGAAGACCACAGTTGGGCAAAAAAGCAGTGGGAGCAGGAGCAACCTCTGACTCCTGCCAGCTTCCCCATTTACTTTGCTTGGGGAGTGGTAGAGAGAGTCAGGAATCACAATTGGGAGACCACAGGGACGCTGCAACAGCCACAAGTATGCAATTCAAACTGGTTTGAACATTGTGGAAATTGCAGTTCTGCAGAAGTAACGTGTCCTGGATTTTTGTGCATTCTTTAAGTTAGCAAGTTTTAGGTACTCAGTTCAAAAATTGTGGCAGTATAATGTCTCATTTGGGTTAACTGGAGGGTACAAGCAGACAAACATAATGAAAGCTTTAGTATATAGATGCTTGAGGAACTCATAATACATGTTATCCTGTGTTAGATATATGATTCTACCCATCTGTACATCAATTTATGCCTTTGTCTCCTTCTATATGGGCCCTCCTTAAGAAAGCTCACTCTATCAATTAGCCCATGTTGCTCACCTCATTGCTGTTTCTCTTATTCTATCAGGTTCCCTTCCAGAAAGACTGTGGTGAGGATGGAATTTGTGTTCCTGATCTTTCCGTATCTTTTAACTTCTCAGGGTGAATAATGTGTGGTGTCCATGGTTTTTTAATTCTGTCCTTCGCTGGTGCAAACTTGGATCCCATGGAAAGACATTATGTGGTGCAAGAGCCAAGAGATACACAATCAGAATAGAACTGGAAGGGATCTTGGAGATCTTCTAGTCCAACCCCCTGCTCAAGCAGGAGACCCTATACCTTATACACCTCAGCCATCCACTTGGAAGTGCTACCTCTGATTGGTAGGAAGCTGTGCACAAGCTGAGAGACAGACCCAAGATTATTGTGAAATCATACATAAAATACCAGAGCCTGTGAATGTTGTTTCTTCCACAATCCCCTTTATATAATGGGTCTGAGATGCATCGTTTGGATTGTGTCCTGTATCTGTTTCTATCAGTTCTCTTGTGCTGGAGACGGGCAGTTTAGTGGTTTGCAATAAAGGTCAGCCCATCAAATGCCCATTTTAATTGCTTTTGTGCTCTGCTAACATTGGCCATTGGATAGAAGGGGTTACATTCATTTCCTTGTAATTCATGTAGTGGATTTAGTGACAGTTTCTATATTATGGATGTTGGGAAGTGGAGAAAGTCACCAGTGGTCCTTGGCACTGAGGAAATATTTTCCATTGTTGTATTTCAGATCTAAAGGACTGAAGCTGAGCCCAAATTTCATACTGAACCTAACACTGAAACTAGAAAATCTGGGAGAATTGGCATATGAGCTGGCTATTTCCTTTTACTAATCTTCTGTTTTGTCCTTCCAGGGAGCTTCAGTTCTTCAAGTGAGTTTGATGAATTTGGGGGGGGGGGTATAGTGGGGAGGAAAAGAATGGGGGGATTAAGGTGGCAATGCTGGACATTTGTAGATCAGAATTCAGGTGTCACCAGTAGGGTCACCTGGCAGCTATGATCTTGCAGAGTTGGTTGATCTAGAAAAAGATCAGCCACTGTACAGTCAGCATAGAAGATCAGCTAGCAGGAGAAAATATACAGCTGCTGTATATAAACAGGGAGAAAACCCCACACTTGCCAGTGCTGATGACATTACCTAGCTGGGTAATGAAATGTCTGCCACCAAACAACCAAGCTCAGAGAGCACCAAGGACTCCATGATCTAGAAAAAGCCAAGCAGCCTCAAACCAGCTTAAAACGTACATAGATGGGAGAATATTAGGAAACCCCAGGGATCTGATTCAGACAGAAATCTAGAAAAATTCCCCTCCGAAGATGACAATGGCAAGCTCCCCACATAGCAGTCTATTGCCACTCCCTTGCAAAGCAATCTGAAGCTAATAGAAGTCTAAGCAACCAATCTATGCAGCTATATATTAATTTCCCCTTAATTATCGGGAAAAACAAATAACAAATAACAGGGATTGGATTAGCTGGATCTAATGAGAGTTAACAGAATAACAGAATTGGAAGGGACTTGGAGGTCTTCTAGTCCAGAGGTCATCAATCTTTCTCGGTTGGCAAACCCGGAGGGAAAGGCTGGGCGAAGCATTTTAAACGCATGCGTGTGTGCCCGTGTGCACGGGGCCGTGATGCAAACAGGGCGGGGCTAGCGCCCGCCTGATACTAGCCCTGCCCCATTCTTGTGCAGCGCAATGCCCTGTTTCCACCCCCACAGCACGGTGGCACCTGTTTTGGCGCCCCACAGTGCAGCAGCGTCCCGTTTTTGCACCCCACGGCGTGACGGCATCCTGTTTTCATGGGCCAAGGCACAACGGTAGTTGGTTTTTGCATCCCGTGGCGCAGCGGTGTCCCGTTTTCATGCCCCGCAGTGCAGTGGCATCCCGTTTTTATGCCCTGAGGCATGGTGGCGTCCCATTTTTGCGCCCCAAAGCACGGTGGTGATCTGTTTTCATGCCTCAAGGTGTGGCAGTGGCCCGTTTTCATGCCCCACGGTTGCAGCACTAGCATGAGTGTGTGTGTGCGCGTGCACACGTACGTGCACTGGCCAGCCTGTCCCATGGCCCGGTGGCCAGTAGGCCACGGCCCACTACCCCTGTTCTAGTCCAACCCCCTACTCAAGCAGGAAACCATATACCATTTCAGACAAATGGTTGTCCAATCTCTTTTTAAAAACCACCAGTGTGGAGCACCCACAACTTCAAGTTGCTTTCACTGTCAGGAAATTTCTCCTCAGTTCTAGGTTGCTTCTCTCCTTGATTAGTTTCCCTCCATGGCTTCTTGTCCTGCCTTGAGGTGCTTTGGAGAAAGGGTTGACCCCCTCTTCTTTGTGGCAGCCCCTGAGATATTGGAACACTGCTATCATGACACCCCTAGTCCTTCTCTTCATTAGACTAGACATACCCAATTCCAGCAACTGTTTCTTATATGTTTTAGTTCCATAGCTTGGAACTATTCCCGAAGAAGGCCTTTGCTTGCATTCCCATTAAATGTACTTTGACAAAGGTATACTTGAGACTAAGCATCTACTGAAATTCTGGATGCCTGGGCAGGCTTGCAAAAGACAGCTAGCCTGGTTCTTGCATATCACTTTCCTTTATATTCTCTGGGCATGATCTGATTTTTTTTTTTTAAATCTCTCTCTGCTTCAAATCGAATTGGCCCCTGTTCCTGGCTTGTCGGATGCACAGATCCCAAGGAAATGACACCGTACGCCATAGCTCCTGCCGTTTCAGGCTGCCTGCTCTCAAGGGAGGCACTCGGGTAAGAAATGGGAAATGAAGTCAAGCACAGAAGCAAAGGTCAGCCATGAGAACAAAAGTAGGTGAACGCAAAATGTGAAAAATAAAATGTTCCTGTGCAGGATGCCAATGTAAGCGAGGCTAGCTGTGTGTCCTGGTTCTGCATAATTACTGTACAGAGAAGAAAGAGAAATCAGCATTCTCTTGTTTTCAAAGAAAACCTTTCTACTCTGCACATTTATAAATGTAATCAGGATCTGATGCAACCTTAAAAACCAGCAGGAGAAAAGCAGAAAAGGGATTGAGAGACAGGGCACAAATTACAATTTTCATTTATTTATTAAATTTGTATGCCATCCATCTCACTGTCCAAAGTGGAATATAAATTTAGTAAATATATAAATAAGCAAGTTCCATTCCTCGTTTCTCCCAATGATTGGTGGAAACAGAATCAACACCATAACCAAAACAGGCAAATTCGTAACATTTCTGCAAGCTAGGCTCTTCGAGTTCCCACCAACAATATAGGGTGATGAGGTTTTGGAGGCAATGGGAACCGGCATCCCAAAATACAGGTAGTCCTTGAGTTACAACCATTTAGTGACTGTTTGAAGTTACAACGGCACTGAAAAAAGTGAATTAGGACCATTTGTTACATCTATGACCATTGCAGTATCTCCATGGTCACATGATCAAAATTCAGATACTTGGCAACTGACTCAGTTGCAATGTTCTGGGATCTTGTGATCCCTTTTTGTAACCTGAAAAGCAAAGTCAACGGAAAAACCAGATTCATTTAACACCTGTATTACTAACTTAACAACTGCAGTGATTTACTTAACAATTGTGGCAAGAATAAAATGGGGGCAAAACTCACTTAACAACTGTCTGACTTAGCAACAGAAATTTTGGGCTCAATTGTGGTCGTAAGTCGAGGACTACCTGTATTTGGGAGGTGCTGCAGTTAGGGGGGGGAAGCTGTTTTAGCTGAAGTAAGGGCTGACAAAAGAACGTGGGGTTGAACAGGAAGAGACGTTCTTATAGGCTCTGTCCTCTCTGATGTTCCCTCTTGAAGGCCTTCCTCCGGGTTTCCTTCCGCTCCTCCAAAGGCGATACCTGGCCTGACAAATTTGTTTACTTCACCATCCATGCACAAAGGTAAGGAACCTCACAGATTGTCTGCCTCTCTCTGCAGTTTCTGAATTGCTTTTCCTAACTGCCTTCTCCTTTTTGGTCTCTTCCAGTCAGAATGAGAGCAACATGCAAGAGAACAATGAGGCTACCGGCCGGCTACCTGTTTTGCATCCCGTCAACGTCATAGTGAAAGAGTAATTCTGTCCCCTTTTTTGTGATTTCCTACCCCGAGAGCCCATTTCCCAGGAATAATCTTCGTTTGTGGTGAAAATGTTGAAGTAGGAGCTGGAAAACTGGGATTCTAGCCCATTCTCAGCCACAGAAGCTCCCTGGTTGACTTTCGCCTAGTTCAGGGGTAGGCAACCTTGGCTCTTTTATGACTCGTGGACTTCAACTCCCAGAATTCCTGGCCTAGTTTGTCCTTCCCAGCTCAAGAACCAGGGTGGTGCTGGGCTATCAGCAGGGACTTCATATTATAGACAACCTTAGTGTGGCTTTGGCCCAGTCATGCTCTCTCAGCTCAGCCTACTTTACAGGGCTGTTGTTGAAGGAAGAAGTAGGACTTCCCCTTTTACGATCCAAATGAAGGCCTCTCCTTTCCCCTCTAGGCTTCAGTCCACTGCATATCTCAACTTCTCTACTGAGGACCCAGGGAAGAAAATACTTACGCATAGCTATGAGGTAATGGACTTGGTTTTTTTCCTGTTGGTTAATAACTAACTAAATCCATATCTTTTCCATCCATCTGCTCTGGTCTTAAGCAGACCAGCTGAAAGTCCAACCTGCTCATGAAGTTTGAGGGACTTGGATGACAAAGGAGGCCTTCTTTGTGGTAGCTCCATATTATGGAATAGGCTTCAAACAAGCAGTGCCCTCACATTCCAGAAGAGTGTTAAAACTTCCTATTTTAGTGCATTTAGCTCCATTTGATTGTGGGCATCCATCTGTATAGGTCGAAGTAGTCCTTGACTTATGACAATTGGTTTAGCGACCACTGAAGTTACGACCGATCCAAAAAAGGAGAACTTAAGATCTGGATCCGAAGTTCTGATGGTCAGCCACCTCCCAGGTCATGTGACCTCAATTCAGGTGTTCAGCAACACAGCTGCATTCAGGTGTTCAGCAACACAGCTGGTGGTTTGCTGTGTCCTGCGGTGACATGGCCACATTTTACAATGGTTTTGCCAAAACCTGGCATTTTTTTCTGGTTTTTGGCAAACCCGCGCCATAGCGAGCAATGGATTTGCTTAACAACTGTAGCAATCCCTTTATCATGGCATTCATTTTACAACCACTATGTTTGCTTAATGACTGCTGCAAAAAAAAAGGTTGAAAAATCAGGTAAATTATGTGACTGACCTCTTTTATGAACCATTATGAATTACAATCATAATACAGGAAGTCCTCAACTTACGACCACAATTGAACCCAAAATTCATGTTAAGTGAGACATTTGTCAAGAGTTTTGCCCCATTTTTACCACTTTTTTGCCACAGTTCTTAAGTGAATCACTGCAGTTGTTAAATTAGTAACACAGTTGTTAAGTGAATCTGGTTTCCCCATTGACTTTGCTTGTCAGAAGGTTGCAAAAGGCGATCATAGGGACATTACAACCGTCATAAATGTGAGTCAATTTTCCAGCATCCAAATTTAAATCACTTGACCATGGGGATGCTACAACGGTCGTAAGTGTGAAAAATAGTCATAAGTCACTTTTTTCAGTGTCGTTGTAACTTCAAATGGTCACTAAACGAACTGTTGTAAGTTGAGGAGTATCTATAGGCAGTTTCCATTATGGTCATAACTCGAGTATTACCTGAATCTATTTCCATATTTTTATATTGTTTTGTGATCTTATTTTCCACCATGTTTCTACTTTATTGTTCATCACCCAGAATTATGTGATTAGAGTGACTCACAAATAAAGTTTAAACAAAGGCATAAATAAATCTGCCTTTACTCCTTTACTCAACCTGTCCACCATTCCAGCTATCCATCTTTCTTTGCATACATACCTACAGTAAACAGTCTCTCTATGGGTCTTTATGAGAGAGAAGTCTCTCTCTATTTTTTTTGGTAGACAGAGAATTTCTCTCTGTGGGAAAAAAGGTGATTGAAAAAAACCTGGGGGGAAAAAAATAAAGAGATCACCCAAGTGTATTGAAACCTACCGGGAGTAACAGAGCAATCTGCTCACTCTACTATTTTCAGTTGCAAATGGTTTGGTCCCAGCACTTGACATGTTCATTCTGCCAACATCTACTTCCATACCTGATTCCATGTCTTCCCAATTTATTCAATTTCCCTTTTTTTCTTCTGGCAGGTGAGGAATTTGGACTCAAACTCCATTGCAGTCAATGTGACTTTTGAGCTGCCTTTGATGACAAAACAGGTTCTTTTGGAATATAACGCCATCCTACAGCGATGTGGTAAGAAGAAGATTGCTGGTTGATCAGAGGGCCTGCAAGAGAGAACATCTGGATAATATTTGTCAGGAGGAAGACTAGAAACCTGGAGGAAAGATTTAGTATTGGAAGGGTACAGATAGTCCTCGAATTTTGAATGGTCACTAAACAAATGGCTGCTAGTGACCGTTCAAAATTACAATGGCCCTGAAAAAAGTGAATTACAACCAGTCCTCACACTTGCAGCATTGCAGCATCCTCACAGTCAGGTGATTAAAATTCACCCCCCCCTTGGCAATTGATAGTTACTTAGGGTGTTTGCAGCATCCTGGGTCACGTGATCACCATTTGCAACCTTCCCAGCTGGCTTCTGACAAGCAAAGTCAATAGGGGAAGTTAGTAACAGGGTTGTTAAGTGAATCTGGCTCCCACATTGACTTTGCTTGTCAGAAGGTCACAAAACCTGATCACATCACCCTGGGACACTGCGACCGTCATAAATATGAGCCAGTTGACAATCGTCTGAATTTTGATCACTTGACCGTGGGGGTGCTGCAATGGTCGTAAGGACTACCTGTATCCAGAAAGAATTGTGATGAATGTCATAAGTTAGGGTTATTGTCAAAAAGATAATGGGCTTATATATACATTTTTGGAAATAACAAACTGTAGCACACATTTATTAGTTAAATCAATTAAGGCAGAGTCTGTCTTTTGAACCCGTTTTTCCCAGCATGCAAGAAAGAAGGGCTAATCATAGAGCTATTTATTGTTTTTCCAGATAAGATTGACCTTGAAATGTCCATTAACTTGTTCACATTAATGTTTTGGGATACTCCTGTTTCTTTCATAGCATCACTTGGTACATTTTCTTGTAAGTTCCACTTGTGCAAAATTACTTTTCTTTTTTTCCCTAGAAAAATCACTTCTCCTGCACACCGTTGTTTATGCTCAGAACAGGAATCAACAGGAAGAATGTCACAAAACCCATCAAGGTAAAAATTGGGTACAGGTAGTCCTTGACTTACGACAACAGTTGGCACCAGAATTTCCATGGCAAAACAAGGTGGTTTTTTAAGCAAGTCAGGTCCAATTCTGCGACCTTTTTTGCCATGGTTGTTAAGTGAATTGCTGCAGTTGTGAAGTTCTTAAGTGAATCCGGCTTCCCTCATTGACTTTGCTTGTTGGAAGCCAGCTGGTAAGGTTGCAAATGTCAACCAAATGATCCCAGGACGTCTCAACCATTATAAATATATGTTGGTTGCCAGGCAGCCAAATTTTGATCATATGTCTGTAGGCATGCTGCAACTGTCATAAGTGGGAGGACTCATTGTAAGTCACCTTTTTCAGTGCTGCATTAACTTTGAACGGTTTCTAAACGAATGGTTGTAAGTCAAGGATTGCACCTTCCTTTGGGTTGATACCTTTTTATGAGAAGAAATTCCTCAACTGAACCTGAGAGGTATTTTTGTCTGAGATGGTGACAGCAAGCAGCAACACCAATGCTCACAAATGAAGGCGAATATATACGTGTCCCAGGATAATGTCTCAGGATGCAATCTGGGTCAGTCACCAGAACTAGAGGTTCAATTTTCCAAGCGTTCAGACTCGTGCTGGAGCCCATCCTCAGGGAACTTCTCTCTCATCAGAATGTGCGCTATGGGCTATTCTATGCATAGTATTTATGTGGTGCCTGGTTGTGTGTATGCAATGAACAAAGACATACAATCAATTTCACAGCTATTAAGATTGTTGGCTGAGCAGGGACAAAAATAGCCAGGGAAATTATTGAAGCCTGGGAAACGGGTCCCTCATCAGTCAACAGGAGTGTTGATTTACCACCAGCTTATCAGGTCCTTAGGAACCAAAGCATCAGGCACCACATAAATACTACGTGTAGAATAGCGCAAAGCACACATTCTGATAGAAGTTCCCTGAGGAAGGCCTCCATCACAAGTCTCAAAGCTCAGAAGACTAAACCTCTGGTCCGGTGACTGACCCAGATTGGACCCTGCAATACGAATTCAGGGGGCTGTTGCTTGCCCCAAAGTTTACTGCTTTATCAACAGTCTTGCTAAGGGAGAATGGATCAGATTCAATTTTTCTGGAGATTTTTACAGAGAAGACAAATCTCTCAAAGTAAGTGGTACCTCTGTCAGATAATAGGACTATTACATTGTTCTGTTTGTAAGGTATATTTCTACTAAATACCTTGGGCAAAGAAAGCATTGTAAAGAATTTCCTATTCATTCTTGATTCCTATAAGGGAAACACTTATGACAGCTGCCTTAGATGTTTGATTTGAGATTCACGTGTGGAAAATAAGAAAAATGAACTCTCTTTTTTAGTCAATTGATTGGTGAGCTAAGCAAAAGGGAATGAAGAAAGAAATTTTAAAATATAAAATCATAGGCTGGAAGGGACCTTGGAGGTCTTCTAGTCCAACCTGGTTATTAGATTGGTTATTAGGAAATAACGGAGGGGCGGGGAGGCTTCCAGGGAAAGATTGCCCAAACCTAAGCCAGACGCTCTAAACATGCTCAGGAGTGCCCCTGTCTCACCTCCAAGACCAAATTATATTGACCTCTTTCATTGATCTTTCACTGACCAAATTATATTGATCTCTTTCATTTGCTTATCACTTCTAAAGCTGGAGTCCGAAATATTCCACTTTGGCAGCGAGGCGTCCATGAGGGTGGATGAGACCAGATTTTTCCTGAACGAACAAGAGGGTTTTCATTTCAGCCAGGTAATTCAGCCAGCATTGGTTGACTAAAGAGTTAATGGTTGAGCAGTGGAAATGCAAGGAAGGAGTCATAGAATCAGAAGGATGGAAGAGACCTGGGAGGACTGTCCAATCTTTTCTTGAAGACCTCCAGCAATGGTGCACTCCAAGAAGCAAGCTGTTCCATTGATTAATTATTCTTACTGTCAGGAAGTTTCTCCGTATTTCCAGATTGGATCTCTCTTTGATGAGCTTCCACCCATTGCTTCTGCCCTGCCCTCAGGTTCTTTGGAGAGCTCTCTTAGTTAGTACATGCTGCAAATGAGTCATGGAATCTGATAGCATCTTCAAGACTAACCAACTTTCTTAGGGCAAAACCTTTCCTAAACATCAGATGCACAGAAAGGATTTGTTCTTATAGACTTGAAACACAGGGAATGCACGAGAAGGGAGAGCAACGGGGAAGAACCAGGTGGGAAGCTAATGGATATGGCTTCCCACCATCGTATCTGCTCTGTCGTGATGAGTGGATCTTTATCAAAAGGAAGTGAAATGCCTGCTAGTAAAAAACATGCATCTGCCATCTTTGTAATGTGGAAGTGAGCGTTGGGTTTGTCAGGAGAAATGCAATAATAAGCTGAACTTGGGAGAATGAAGAAAGAGAGTCAAGAATGAGTGGGAACTGAATGAAGGTGGACTGAATGCAACACAAGTGACTGGTACAAAAGTATGTTGAGATAGTTCTGTCCTGGAGAGAGAATGAATGGTGAATAGCATCGTGCAAACTCAATTCATCCATTTTTCATTTTCTTACCTCATATCTTTTATTTGCCTACCAACAGAAGAGAATATTTGTAGATCAGGTTTGAACTGTGAAGTCCTTGGCTGTTTTCTTCTTGAATGTTTCATTACTGAACTAGGTAATATTAACATTGCTAGAAGAATCCAATTCCCTTCTAGCACTGATGATGTTACCTAGATGGGTAATAAAATGTCTACAAGAAAACAACCAAGTTCAGAGAGCACCCAGCAATTCCTTTGCCTGCAGTTCTTCCTCCTTTTTTTGGCACATTGCGTAAGGATGCTTACGCCAAAGGGGAATAACAAAATGAGTGTTCAGCAAAGGCTAATTTCTCCGAGTCTCTTATGCTATCTTTTGGGCAGTTTTGCAGTTGAATCTAGCAAGCAGGCTTCTGGGTAAACGGATTCCTAGAATTGAAACCAGTTGTAGGAACAGACTTCAGTTTCCTATTGCTTTTCTTTTTCAGATCACCATAAAAATTGAGTTAATTTTGCCGTTCAATCCTGTCCCCATCATCATTGGCAGCACCATTGGAGGCATTGTGCTTTTAGCCATTATAGTGGCTGTCTTGTATAAGGTTTGTGCTGGTTGTTTCGGCTGTTTGATGTGGGTCTTGCTAGGATCTGGGCTTATGGGACCTTATTCCCATCTCTCCTTTAAATCAACCTCAGAACCTAGATCTGTTTCAGTGGAGGCTGTCCCTCTATCTCAGGGGTCTTCAAACTTGGCCCTTTTATGACTTGTGGACTTCAACTCCCAGAATTCCTCAGCCAGGCTGGCTGAAGAATTCTGGGAGTTGAAGTCCACAAATCATAAAAGGGCCAAGTTTGAAGATCCCTGCTCTATCTGATTGCAAATTAGGGCAACTATTTTTTTAGCAGGAACTTCAGATAGAAATAAAGTATATACATAGGCTGTGTTCCCCATACATTGTAAGTTACCACAGTATTGTTAACCCCTGAAATATTTTTTGGCAATCCACATACTACATCAGAAAATCTCAGCCCCCTGTAGCTCAGAATATGGTCTGGCTCTGGCAGGAAGAACCAATAAAGTATTTAAGACCTGTCACTTAGTGTCTGTTTGAAATATAACGGGCTCTCCAAAAGCTACTTATGCCCTGAATTTTGAAGTTCTGGTGTCACCCCTTCCACAATCATGTGACTGCTTTTTGGGTGCTCAGCAACTGGCCCACATTTACAGCCATTTGCCGGGCCCTGTGGTCATGTGACCACAATTTACGAGGGCTTAAAACCAACCCATAGTGAACAATGGGTTCACTTAACCACCACCACAAAAAAGGTTGTAATATTGGATCCAGTCATATGGTGACTTGCTTTACGACTGTCACAACTTCCCCCAGGCTCAATTATGGTTGTAAATTGAGGACTACCTGTACAGTCATGTACATTAGCAGAGTGTTTCTCAACCTTGGCAAAGTTAAGATATATAGACTTCAACTCCCAGAATTCCCCAGCCAAATTAACTTCATCTGTCCTATGCGCTTTAATTCTTAAGTTATCTCTGATCTGCTAGATCAGTGGCTGGCTGGGGAATTCTGGGAGTTGAAGCCCACACATCTTAAAATTCCCAAAGTTGAAAAACACTGCATTAGCACATTTAAATTGTATGCCCTGGAACTTTTCAGAACCAAGGAAATCTGTTGGATAAAACAGATGCAACAGATTTTGTTCTGTTCTGTGCATTGGTAAGGCATTGAGACGAGGCAGGAGTCACAACAGTTGCTTCTTTATTTAATCTCCAACAGAACAACATAAAATGGCGCGGATCTCTTTTATACCCCCTTGCAGGGAGTAGCATCAACCAATCAATGCAACATATCTTTCCTGCCTTGCGCATGCACAATAGGCTGGAGACAGCCTGTCTGGCCCGGGCAGCCACGTGGTCTGCCCGGGTCTCTCTGCAGCTTCCTGCACCTGCTGTGTCAATCACAGCCCAGGACATAACACCCCTCCCCTCTTAGCTCCAAAACACATAGAACTTACTATTTTACATTACTACAAATCTAATGCCTTTTCAGTTCTTTTTTTTTATTATTATTAATTTTTTTATTATTTTCAAATATAATAAAATATAAACATGAATTTGATGGATATAAATACAAAACATCAGTACACCAAAAAAAATTTAATTTACGTATGATCCCCGCTGCCCCCTCTCCGCTTCCCCCTCTTTCACCTGCCAAACCTTCCTCCCCCTAAACTCTCAACCACTCCACCTTCCTCCTTTCACTCCCTACTTCCCAACCTCTTTCTCAAGCACCAACCGGAAGCAGTTTGGGGTAACAGCAAGGATCATCCTCATAAATATACTTCCAAAATAATTAA